GGCAGTGTTTCGTTCTGCTGTGCATGGGGTCGCTATGAGTCGGAAACGACTCGACGGCACTTAACAACAACAACAACAACAACACTTAGGTCAGTAATTTCCAGCCTTTGCTGCCCAAGAGTACCTCCTGAGGTACTTTCAAAGTTTCCCTGTTTACCACATACCTCAGTATAAATGAATCAGAATCTCTGGTGGTACAACTCAGGCATGATATATTTAGAGATCACCAGATTTTTTTTTTTTTTCCTTTTTAAAGAGTTGTGTATTTCACCAAGATGCCTTTGCGTGAGGTGACAAAAACAAAATGTTCTAAAGGTGTTACGGTACTCAGTTAGGTAGCTGTTATGACATACAACTCATTCCAGAAATTAACAAATCTAAAAATAAAAAAGTGCTAAATAAACATTCTTATATGAAACATCAGAAGATATGTAAACCATGAAAGGCACAAAATTTATATAACCTAATGAGAATGTTTCCCAGCTCTGCAGTTTTGGTTTGCCTGCTACTCTAATCCACAGACAAAAAAAGATAGCACATGTATTAAAAACAGATTGTTTTACTGAGAAGTCTCTGCAGTGCCCTCTTGATATCCCTGTTTCTCAAGCTGTAGATAAAGGGATTCAGCATGGGAGTGAAAATAGTGTACGTCACTGAAGCCACTGCACCACTCCTGAGAGAAGGTGAGAGAACTGAACTGAAGTACACTCCAAGAGAAGTTCCATAAAATAAGCAAATAGCTGACAAATGAGAGCCACAAGTGGAAAAGGCTTTATACTTCCCACCTGATGATGGGACTCTCAGAATGGAGGAAACAATTCGCGTATAAGAGAACATGATCCATGAGACTGGAACACCACCAAAGAAAGCTCCAATACAATACAGTAATATGGTACTGGTCGAGGAATCAGAACAGGCAAGGATGAAGAGTTGTGTCGGATCACAGAAGAAACTAGGGATTTCCACATCTGTGCAGAATTTAAGTTGTGACACCATCAAACAGTGCAGCTGGGAGTCCAAAAAGCTAATGAAAAAAGATAGCAAAACCAGAAGACCACAAAGGCGGGAGCTCATGGTGACTGGGTAGTGCAGAGGGTGACAAATGGCCACATACCGGTCATAGGCCATTGCAGTAAGAAGCAGACTGTCCATACATCCAAACAAAATGAAGAAAGACAACTGAATGAGGCAGTTTACATCTGAGATGATTTTGTGATGTGTTTGGATGTCATTAAGCATCTTTGGCACGGTGGTGGAGGTGAAAACAACGTCAGCCAAGGACAGGTTGGAAAGGAAGAAGTACATGGGAGTGTGGAGGTGGTTGTCAGAGCTTATGACCAGGATAATGACCATGTTCCCAATCATGGTGACCAGGTACATGGACAAGAACATTCCAAAGAGAAGTGGCTGAAATTCTGGATCATCTGAGAAGCCCAGGAGGAGGAATTCAGAAGCATGTGTTATATTCTGTGGTTCCATGAAGCAGAGACACCTTTAGGGAAAGAAAAGAAGAGTTTACAAAAGGAAGTGAGTAAGTGAACAACCAGCAAGGTGACGATATTTTGAATTCTGGAAATTCACATGCAAAGCATTCACATTTAAGTACCCTATGGTACCTTCAGCAATATTTCTCAGTTGTAGCAAAACCATAACTCCTGGAACTCTTTCTTCATTGATTTCCGTACCCTCTTCTCTCCACACCCACATTGGAGGCACTCTACTGAAGAATGTTAGAGGAGCAAAGACATTTAGAGATAATAATTCATAAAGACATAAAACAAGCAATGCAACAAGAAACAGAAGACTTCAACAGACATATATGAACATACCTTTATTCCCATTGTTATGATTTATCAATCAGAGATCAACAAAGAGGAAAGAAATAGCTATTTTAACGGAGATCACATAATATAGGCAAGTAGTAAAATAGTTATTGAAAAACTAAAAGGCATGAAACAAAAAAGTAAAACAATGTGTATTGCTGTGAGGCTGGAAGTTAGGCCACTGGTATTTCAAATATGAGCAGGGTCACTGATGGTGGGCAGGTTTCAGTGGAGCTTCCAGACTAAGACAGATTGGGAAGAAGGACGGGGATATCCACTTCTGAAAACACTGGCCACTGGAAACCTTATGAAAGCCTGTGAAACACTGATATGTACCAGAAAATTTTATGAATGGCCCTGGAACATTGTCTGATATAGTGCTAGGAGGTGACCTCCTCAACTGGGAAGGCACTCAAATTATGACTAGGAAGGGCTGCTTCCTCAAAGTACAGTCGATCTTAATGGTATGGATGGAATGAAACTTTCAGGACATTTATTTGCTGGTAGGACATGACTCATAATGGGAAGAACTAGCTGCAAACGTTCATTAATAATCAGAACATGAAATGTATGAAGCATAAGTGTAGGCAAGTTGGATGTTGTTAAAAATGAAATGCAAAACATAAAGATAGATACCCTAGGTATTAGTGAATGGAAATAGATTGTGATTGACCTTACTGAATCAGTCATATGGTCTATTAAGTCAAGAATGACAAATTAAAGAGAGGCAGCATCACATTCATCATTGAAATGAATGTTTCAAGATTTACCCTGAAGTACAATGTTGTCAGTGACAGGATAATACCCATACACCTACAAGAAAGACAAGTTACTACTACTCTTACTCAAATTTATGCCATAAACACTAACATAAAATATGAAGAAATGGAAGGTTTTTTTTTTTTTTTTTTTTTACCATTTACTGCAGTTTGAAATTGATGAAACATGCCATCAACATGTATTGTTAATTACTGGTGATTAGAATGCAAAATTTTGGGGAAAAAATTAGAATCATTATAGTTGGAAAATATGACCTTGGTAATAGAAATAACGCTGGAGATCACATGATATAACTTTGCAAGACCAACTACTTATTCACCACAGACACCCTTTCTCAACAACGTAAATGGTGGCTATAGAGATGGCTCCTGTGATATGCAGATAACACAACCTTGCTTGCTGAAAGTGAGGATGACTTGAATAACTTACTGGTGAAGATTAAAGACTACAGTCTGCAGTATGGATTACATCTCAACATAAAGAAAATGAAAATCCTCACAACTGGGCCAGTGAGCAGCATCATGATAAATGGAGAAAAATTGAAGTTCTCAAAGATTTCATATTACTTGGTTGCACAATCAACACCAATGGAAGCAGCAGTTTAGGCATCACACAATGCATTACACTTGGCAAATCTGCTGCAAAAGACCTCTTTAAAGTGCTGAAAAGCAAAGATGTCTCTTTGAAGACTAAGGTGTGCCTAACCCAAGGCATAGTATTTTCAATTGCTTCATATGTATGTGAGAGCTGGACAATGAATAAAGAAAACAGAAGAAGAACAGATGTTTTTTGAGTTGTGCTGGCTAAGAATAATGAAAGTATCATTGACTGTCAAAAGAACTCACAAATCTGGCCTAGAGGAAGTGCAGCCCGAAAGCTCCTTGGAAGTGAGAATGGCCAGACTATGCCTGATCTACTTTGGTCATGTTTTCAGAAGGGACCACTTCCTGGAGAAGGATGTTATGCTTGGTAAAGAGGAGGGTCAACAAAGAGGGGAAGGCCCTCAATGAGATGGACTGACACAGTGGCTGCAATGATGGGCTCAGTATAGCAAGTATTGTGAGGCTGGAAGGACCTGGCATTGTTTCATTCTGTTACACATAGGGTCACTATGAGTCAGAGCCGACTCGATGGCACCTAACAACAACGACAACATAGATGTGGCTATACATGTGGACCTCACCATATGGAATACACAGGAATCAAATCAACTGCATCTGTGGAAAGAGGTGATAGAGAAGCTCAATATCATCAGTCAAAACAAGGCCAGGTGCTGACTGTGGAACAGACTATCAATTGCTCCTATGAAATTTAAACTTTAAACCAAAGGAAATTAAAACAAGTCCATAGGAGCCAAAACACAACCTTGGTTACATCCCCACTGAATTTAGAAAGCATGTGAAGAATAGATTTGATGCATTGTACAGCAATGGCCAAAGACCAGACGAGTTATTTGAATGGCATCTGTGCTACATTGTTGTGATCTGGGGACAGATGAGAGGTCTCCATTTACTGTGCTGATGGGGAAGTGCCTACAATAGCCAAACCCAGTGTAGAAGTAATCTAATTCTAAATGACCTTTCTCTGACCTCTACCAGATCTTGGAACAGAAACTTCACAGGCCTCTGAGCTGAATATTAGCACTCCAGGGCCTCCCCTCAGGCTATCCCAAGTGTGCTGCTTGTCCTAATGAGGAGGAAACAGTGTCTCTCAACCCCTCTATGTCTGCTTACATCTCACAGTGTCACCCACAGCACTCACTGGATTGCGCTGGATCTCCACTGGGACAGAACGAAAGTCTATGTGTCCACCACCCCTCCTGAGGCACCTTTCTCAGGATTGGAAGGTGGATAGATTCAGGCATGGACTTCCTGAGGCAGACAACCACTGTAGGGTAGAGATGTATGTATGGAGCTGGCAGGACTGCAATGGAAAAAGTGAAGCCTGGATAGCAGAGGCTGCTTATTTATGGTTGGATGGCCTTGAGACCTAAATGCCCAGAGCTCACAATTTGCCAAATTGGTGCATGTCATTCCAATCCCTGAGGACTTGTTAACATTAATGAAACAGGAAGAAGAGAAAGTGAAAGTCCATGGTATCTGGTTCCTCCTTTACTAAGGAGGAAGCTCACCTCTATTCTTCACTTCTAACTTCCAAGACATAGGGATCTTAACAGGAAAATGAAACACTTTTTTTAAAAAAAATATTTCAATTTTTAAAAATTAGAGTGTGATTATATATCCCCAACCATTTGACATAATAATGTAATTTAAAGACGATCAAACCCTTTTAGGAGTCTCTGTGTGGTGCAAAGATTAAGTGCTCAGCTACTAGCTTAAAGGTTTGTGATTTGAAACCATTCAGAGGTACCTTGGAAATCAGGCCTGGCCATCTGCTTCTAAAAGCTCGCAGCCTTAAAAATGATATAGTGCAGTTGTACTCTGCACATATGGTTGTGATGAGGCAAAAATCAACTCCACTTTTTGAATTAAGGTTTGTGTCACTAAGAAAATAAAAGAAAAATGAAAAAACATTGACATCAAGTTGGTTCCAACTCATAGTGACCCTACAGGACAGAGTAGCACTTCATAGGGTTTCCAAGGCTCTAAATCTCTATGGAAGCAGATGACTCATCTTTCTACTGTCAAACAACTAGTAGGTTTAAACTTCTTACCTTTTGGTTTGTAGTCAAGTGTTTTAGCCACTGAGCCACTAGAGCATCTTAGGAATTAAATTAAGAATTATAGAATTAGATTAATTAAAGAATTAAAATTAAGAATTAAAGTTCTTTAAGAAGAACTTCTTATGTACCATTCTGTAGTCCTTGGTTGTAGTTTGGGGATTTTTGCTTTGGTAATGTATGGATTTTTTGTTTTTGTAAATCAAATGATGCAACGATGTTTCAGTTATCAGCAGGATCACCAAAGATGCACAGATTTCAGCAAAGCTTCCTGATTAGTATAGATGAGGAAGATTTCCAAAGTCATAGACTTAAGAATACCTGTGATCATGAACATGGTGTGTGACTAGGCAATAATTCAATTTGTTATAATTAAGTTCACTAGGACCAGAGCTGACTCAATGAAAGCTAACATTAACTGAAAGTGCTCACTTCACTCCAGAGTAAAATTTTCTTTTAAGATTTGTGTTCAGAAACCTTGAATTTTTTAGTAGAATGTGTTTTTAATATATCTATTTTTTTTACCTTGTAGGTAAAGTAGGTTTTATGGGAATAATAGCCTGTTGCACCTTTTACATCCAATCCTCCAGCCCTCCTAGCTCAGAGATCAGGAAATGGCAATTGGTATGTCAATAACTGAAATGAGGTAACCGTAAACATATATCCAATAAATTGTGTATGGAGAAAGGGATGTTATTTATCTGTGTGTAAATATAAGGTAGAGAGTAATTTTTGGAGACCAAATGACCAAAATGGTGGTTGTTGTTGTTATGTGCCGTCAAGTCATACCCAACTCACAGGGGCCCTTACTTGGGTTTCTGAGACAGTATCACTATGGAAGTAGATTGCTCAACCTTCCTTCTGAGGAGTGGTTAGTAGGTTTGAACTGTCAGCCTTCTGGTAAGCAGTCAAGTGCTTTAGGCACTATGCCACCAGAGCTCCCAAATGATAGATGTGTAGAAGTCAGTTGCAGAAGGAGAGGCTGGGTGTTGAGATCTTTTAGAATTCTTGGACAGTAGCAACACTTTACATTAGACTGAAATAATTTCACAGTAGTTAGTAGGTAAAGGATATCAGAGGAAATGAGGGAAATCCTCCTTGAGATGGATTGACATGGTAACTGCAACCTTGGGCACCAAACAGACCAAAGACTGTGAGGATGGTGCAGGATCAGACACTATGGTTATGCATTAAGGCCACTAGGGGTCG